GATGAGCAAAAGTTATTAACAAGGGCCTGGATCAAGCCGGTTTCCCTGGTGGGTTGTCAGGTTTTTCTGACAGTCCCTGGAATCTGTGAGTCCCTTGAACCTGGTATGGCTCGATGCGTGCTGCTTTAGGGCACCGTGGTTCCAGGTGTGGGTCTGGAGCCCACCTCTTGGCTTCCAGTCCCAGCCCTGCACTTTCCTGCTAGGTGGTCTTAGGCAAAGGAACCCGCCTGTCTGTAGAAGGGGGATGGCACAGTGCCAGCCCAAAAGGGGTTGGAGGGGATTTCACGTGGGCCATTGTTATAGCATGACCTGGGGCAGGCGAGGAGCCGCGTCTAAACGGGGACATACAGAATGATGCAGAAGTTTCCCGGAGCAGCTAGTTAGTTACCTGGGATCGCCACAAAGTTCAAACCCGTTCAAGACCTCGTGTTAGGGAAAGTGGTTACACTCCTGATTCATACACGCTGAGGGTGGCGGAAGATTTTTAAATCTGCTCATGCATCTGCAGAGTTCACTCGAATTCTGTTTGAGAGTCTGGTATCCTTATGGTTAACATTCAAATGTGGGCTTATTAGGCCTTTGAGACCTTAGTGCAATTCATTGGCCATTCTTACTTAGTCTGGGTAGAGGAGAGTACGTATCACTTACGCATTTATCACCTGCTGTGTGCTGGGCGCCCCTCTGGGTGACAGGCAAAGCACTGCCCCCCCCCCCAGGGCTCATAGTCTACTGAGGCAGGGGTTGCAAAATAATTGCAACCATCCTGAAAAAATATGACAGTGACAATAATGGGATAGTTAGAGAACGTTTCTTAAATAACAGACAATGTGAGCAGAGAATGGAGGAGGGGAGAGAGCAAAGTTGCAGGCTACCTGGGGAAGGTTGAGCTGGGCAGAGGTCACAGCCAGTTCAAGTGGCCTGAGGTGGGACCACGCTGGAAGGAGCCAAAGGGATGAGGGGAACATTTTTCTCCCCTTGTTTCTTCTCTCTTTCATCTCCCTCTCTCCATCTCTCTCTCTCTCTTTCTCTCTCTCTTTCTTTCTCTCTCTCTCTCTCCTGTTCCCTTCCATCTCTCTCACCCGGATGATCACCCTCTTTTCGTTTTTCTCGCACCGTCTCCCCGTCTCTCACTTTGCTATGACTGGCCATAACCCGAAAGGCAGTATAGGGTAGTGGTTAAGAGCTCAGACTTTGGTGCCATATAACTGGGCTCTACCACTTCCTGGCGGTGTGTCCTTAGGCAAGTTACTTAACCTCTCTGTGCTGATTAATAATAGTCACCTGCATCAGGGCTGTCATGGGAATTAAATTGAGATGTGATATGGAAAGCACTTAGAACAATGCCTGGCACACGTGAGCATTAGTAAGTGGTGGCGATTATTATTATTATCACTTAATGTCTCTTTTTCTTTCATCTTTCATGACTGTCACCCTCTCCCTGTCCTGTCATCTTTCTCTCCCTATTTCTGTCCTGATATCCTTCTTACCCCCTCGCTCCTTCCATCTCTTCTCCATCTCTCTACTCCCACCCTTATGTCTCTCTTCCTCTCTCCCTGTATCTTGACCTCTGCCCCTTTCTCACCCCTGCCCTCATCCCTGTACCCCTCTCCTCCACCCCTGTCCCCTTGTCACATTCCAGACTCTCCGACGACTCCCAGTCCTCACTCCTCTCCAAACCGGTCAGCAGCCTGTTTCAGAACTGGCCCAAACCACCTCTGCCGCCGCTCCCCACTGGAACTGGGGTCCCCCCTTCAGCCGCTGCGGCCCAAGGGGCCACCTCACCCTCGGCCTCCTCCTCCTCCACGTCCACCCGCCACCTCCAGGGCGTGGAGTTCGAGATGCGGCCCCCTCTGCTCCGCCGGGCCCCCAGCCCCTCGCTGCTGCCCACCTCGGAGCACAAGGTCAGCCCCGCGCCCAGGCCCTCTTCCCTGCCCATCCTGCCTTCTGGACCCCTCTACCCAGGCCTCTTTGACATCCGCGGCTCCCCCACCGGAGGGGCAGGAGGCTCGGCTGACCCCTTCGCCCCTGTCTTTGTGCCGCCACACCCGGGGATCTCCGGGGGGCTTGGAGGAGCCTTGTCGGGGGCCTCCCGCTCCCTGTCACCAACCCGCCTGCTTTCGCTGCCCCCGGACAAGCCTTTTGGCGCGAAACCTCTGGGGTTCTGGACCAAGTTTGACGTGGCCGATTGGCTGGAGTGGCTGGGTTTGGCCGAGCACCGAGCCCAGTTCCTGGACCACGAGATCGATGGCTCCCACCTGCCTGCCTTGACCAAGGAGGACTATGTGGATCTGGGTGTGACCAGGGTGGGCCACCGCATGAACATTGACCGGGCTCTCAAATTTTTCCTGGAGAGGTGATGGCTGGCCTGGACGGACCAGCCCGTCCACAGAACCCTTGAGCCTGCTGGCCTCTTGACCTCTGACCCCGGACCGCCCTTCTCTCCCCGGGCCAGGGACTCTGCTCAGACTGCGCCCTGCCCTTATCTACCAAGGCCGAAGGTCACCAGGTGACCAGATCCAGGCTGGACATTTGCACCTCACAGGAGGGGGCAGCTGACACAAGACTGTGTGTGTGTGAAGCGGGGAGCAGAGGGGGGAATGGAAGAAATCACCGAGGGGATCGAGAAGGAGGGAAGGGCCAATTCTGGGGGGAGGGGACAGACAGAGCCATAGAGGGTCAGCCCTGAGCCTGATTGGATGGGGACCATCCCCCAGGCCACAGGGGAAGGGGATGCCCTCAGATTCCACCACCTGCCGCCCCTCTAACAACCCTTCCCACCCTCTCCAGGCCCCTCAGCTCTCCCCCCTCCCCTCTGTCCAGCACACACAGCTGCCCCCGGCCTCTTGCACGCTCCGCTGCACGCCTGCTCGCCTCTCTCCCCACCCCTCCCCTTCCCGGGCTGCAATTTTGCACAAGTTTGCCCTCTCGCTGTCTTGCACACTCTGCCTTTGCTTCTGGCTTGCGAGCCCCCCTCTGCTCTCGAATACACTCCGTTCTCGTTCTCGCACACACTGCATTTCTTCCCTCGCCTCCTGCTCTCTCTGTCACTTGCTTACACACTTTCCCCTGGGACTGTCCCGTTCACACCTCGTTCCATAAACTCTCCAGACACCCCCCCCCGCCCCGCCGCTCACTCTGAACCCTTGCTGCAGACACACTTGGGACACAATTTCCCTCCCCACTCACAGCCTCTCCGCATCCGTGTGTATTCTCTGGGGTACACGTCTTTTTGTTCAGCCGTCGCACACTCGCTATCTTCTGCACCCCACTCAGACACTCTTACCTCCATTTTCTTACGTTGAAGCACTTTCCCTTCTTATTTCGAGCCCCCTAATTCTCCCTCTATCCACCTCCCCCTCTCACAACACTCCTGCCCCCAGCCTCCCCCTCCCCCTCTTGCACTGTCACTTTTTGTCACACTTTTGCACACTTGCCTCCCAGGAACTGTGTTTTTCTCGCAAATGCTCATTCCTCCCTTCTCTGCCAGCTCCCCCCACTCCCTGGCACCCCTCTCTTGCAGATGTTTGCCTATCTCCGTTCTTGGTTTCCTGGCCCCTCTTGCACACTTGCTTTTGCACACACACCCTCCCCCGCACTGCCAGTGCTCCCTGGAGGCCTTTTGCTCTCCTCTAACGACGTCCTCGCTCAGCGTGGCTTTGCTGCACATGCCTTCCTGTCTTTCCTAGCTGGGCGGGAGCCCGGCCACCTTTTGCTTTTGCACATTTGCCTCCTTCCATACGCCCTTGGGCTGTAACTATCATTTCTTTTTCCTGACACTCTTATTTTTTGTTCCTGTCAGGGAGCAGCTCATGCGGCCATTCTGACTTATTCTCTTACCTCCTTACGCTTTTCTCTTCCTGGTGGGAGAAGACCCTATGCACACTGATTCCTGCTCACCATGCTTCCACATTCCCTCCTCTCCCTGCCTCCAGCCCTCAGCCGCCCTCGCGTCCTCCCTCCTGTCACTCTTCCTTGTCCTCCCTGGGCCATCTGTCCATCCCCTTTGCACGAAGATCCCCTCTCCCAACCTTTCCTTCTCTCTAAGAAACCCTGTCTCCCTCCAGCATGGCTGTTCCTTCCCGCACGCTTCCCCTCTCCCCTTATTCCTGGGGCTTGGGAATTTTAAACCACCCCTCCTCCGAGAAAGCCCCCTCCCCTGCTGTGGGTAAAGGGGGAAGGGCATTGCCCTCAGGTCCCCCCCATGTTCAGCTGCCAAAGAAGGGAGCTCCCCCTCCTTCCCCCAAGCCCATTCCCCCTCTGCTGCCCCCTACCCCCAGGGGGGGGCGCTCCGTCCATGAGGGGAGGGGGCAGCAAGCCCCCTCCCCTCACCATGTCAGGGATCTGCGGGGAACCTCGTGGGAGGGTCGTGGGAGGGGGGAGGGGCGGTGAGGACAGGGGCAGAGGTCGCGCTGGACCCCTACCCGCCCCCTCCCCCTTGTCGGATGCCCCCAGTCCGCAGGGGGCCTGCGCGGTGCCCGTCTATCAAGGGCTTGTTCATTCTGGATGGGTACCGCGGGGTTGGGGAGGGTGTAGGGGGTGGGGGGGAGGAGAGGTCGGGGTGGGGGTGGGAGGGACTGGATGGGGGGGCAGCGCGGGGTGGAGAGGAGAGACAAAGCAAAAAGAGGAACAATAACAAAAGAAGAAAATACAAAAAAACAAAAAACCCAAAACCCCTAGAACTCACAAAAAAAAACATCCAGAAAAAAACCTGAAATAAAAGCCCGAGAATTGTCTTCCAAGGGGGGTGGGAGGGGGAAGAGGAGGGGAGCGGATGAGGACGTCTGGTTCTCCTTGAGACAGGGCTCGGCACGCGCTGAAAGCCCCGTGCCCAGGTCTTCCCTTCCGCGGGCCTCGGTTCCTCCTTAAAGAAATTGGGACCCAGGCGTCCACGTGCAGGGACTGCAGGAAGATTAGGGAGGCGGGATTACAACGTGGGGGTTCATTCCTACCCCCATCACCTCCCTCCCCCTGACTCCCCACCAAGATTTTGCAGAGAGAAATGGCTTTTGTACCAGGTCATTCTTTATAATTAAACTCACAGTATCCACCCCCTCGAGCCGGCCCCGCCTCCTTCCTGGGGAGGCGACGCCCCCTTCGCTCTGGGGGGGGCGCCCGCGCCCGCGGGGCGGTGCGCAAGCGCAGCGGAGGCCGGCCCCCACGCGTCAGTCCTCGGCGGGCTCCGCCCCCAGGGCCTCGAGCATGCGCCGCCGGACCAGGGAGCGGCGCAGGTGCAGGCGGTAATCGCCCAGCAGCAGCTCGTCGTGGCGCACGAGCTGGTGCGCGAGCCCGCGGGGACTGAGCCCCGAGCGCAGCAGGCGCGAGCGCGTCTGGAAGTCCGTGACCATGATGAGCCACCTGCGAGGGGGAGGGGCGGAGAAGGAAAGGGACGCCCTGATGGGCCCCGCCAGCCTTTGACCGGTCCCCGTGCTTTATCGCGGTCCAGCAGCCGGTCACTGCGCCCCTAACCTCCTCTCCAGCCCCACGCTCGCGCCGAGATCGACCCGAACCCGGGCCCTCGCGCGGGCCATTCCAAGCTCCGTCCTCCGTCTCAGCCCGGGTCGGGGCTCCATCTCAAACCGCCGCTCCAGGGCTCCCCCCGCAACCCCAGGCCTCGCTCCTACCTCGGCGCCCCTGCCCCCACTGCGTGCTCAGGCCTCTCCGCCCGCTCAGAGCGCCCTTCCAGGCTCCAGCCCGCACCGCGGTCTGGCCTACCCCCGTGACTGCCTGGGTCGCTAAGCCGGGCCCCGCTCACTCTAGATCCCGCCTTCTCTGCGATCTCACCCGGCCCCTGCCCTTCGCCCCGGCCCGCACTCGCCGCGCTCACCGGTCCCGGCGGCCCGCCGTCCCGCAGATGACGTTCATGTTCTCGAAGCGGATGCTGCTCACGAGCCCGCACTCCATGGCCCCGGGTAACTCGGCCTCCAGCGCCTCCAGCACCTCCAGGTGTGTAAAGTCCTCCTCGGGCTGGGGGTGTCGCAGAAACCACCTCAGCCCACGAGGCCCTCCCTGGATCAGTCCGGTTCCGAAGCCACCGCCCTAGGCCCCACCTGCCGAACCCGCCAGAGTCCCAAGGTGGCATTGGAGGGGCAGGGATCGCACTTGATCCCAGGGTTCTGTCGCTCTTGTCAAAGGGGGATGACAAGTATCTCTCCGGTGGGAAAGCATCTAGTGTCATTCCAGGTCATTCCCCAAAAAACTCCATTTTCACCAAGCCATTTTGCCAAAAGTCAATGAACAGTTGGCCGAATGATTCACTGATCTGGCCAATTTTACCAATCTACCGAAAACCTTCCCAGCCACCTGCAATAAATGGTGCTGGAAGCTCTTGAAGCTTTCTGCCAGGATTTAAGTTGTACACTTTTCCTTTTAGGTTGACATTAGCATTTTAAAGAATGTTCACTTGTCAAAAGATAAGGATCACAGAGGATTTGACGTCTTGTCAATCTGTTTAACATTCAGAAATACGTAGTGATCACTAACCACACTTTGAGCACGAGATTACCATATTGAAGGTGATACGCAGTTGTCACAGCATATAAAATTACTAAGGAACTAGAATGACATCGTGACATCAGTCACCTTCAGAAAGGCTCACCTTTGGTGGGGGGAGGGGGAGACTGGAGAGTCCCTTGCTCAAAGCTACAAAGAAGGGGAGCATTGGGTGGAGATTGATCCCTAAAATGAGGACATGGATCCCTTGGTTGGGGGGAAGTCACTCAGATTAGCTGAGAGGGCTCCTGCCTGTGCCTGGCACGTCAGCTCTTCTCATTTAATTATCACGTGCTTGGGACCCTAATATTATATCCCTTCCGACTGGAGGCACGGATTGTTAGGGGATTCATACACTGAATGACCAATTTGCTGAATCTGTTAAAAACATGGGCTTTTTTCTTATGAGTGTTTTTGTTATATTTGTAAACTTTACAGAACTTCATGGTAGATGGATTAGTAGGACTCCTTTTGTCCTCAGTCTCCCTGCTCCCTGCCCCTCAGTGTCCCCTCCGAGAGGAGCAGTGATACATTTAACAACTGACCCTCTGGCAAACTCACGATCGATCTCCAGCAACCTGCCCTGGCGCCAACCACACAGCTGGCAAACCGCAGAGCCTGGATTTAAACCCCAGCGCCGAGCCTGTGCCTTTTCCACCGCGCCGCCCAAACTGTGCAGAAGCCAAGAGCCTGGGGCCACAGGGGCGGGGACACTCACCAAGGTCTCCATGCAGAGGCAGAGGGGCTGGGCGGCAGGTGGCGTGGGGAACTTCCGGATGCACGGGAGATCCCGGTCCAGTGCCTCATACTCTGCAATGACCTGCCGCAGGTACTGCTTCCTGGGGAGACAGTGAGGAGGCGGGGACCTCTGGGGTCAAGGGCTGCTGCCATCACATTTGGGGGAGCGGAAGTCAGAGGTCATGGTGCCAGGGGCCACTCACGAGGATTTGGTAGGCCTGCCCAGGCTCGGAATCTGTGTCTCCTTTGAGGCGTCTAGGTCTGCAAGGAGGGCTCCTGGGGACAGAGAACTCAGGGTTAGCTGCCCCACGTCCTCCTCCTCGGCCATGACCTTGCTTAAACGGGCATCACCAAATGCTGTCGGTGCCACCCCAGAATAGCCCACATGCCAGTCATTGAGCTATTGTCCCTCAGCTCCAAACTCCACCCTTCTGCTCTGTGGTGCCCGGGCTGGGTCTCTAACCACTTCTCTGCCTTGCCAGCTGGGTTCCCATTAGGCTCTGCCCAAAGCAGGTGCCAGAGGGAGCCTGCTAGGCAGGAGGAATCAGAAGGGACTTGCTCCTTTCTCCTCCTCCTCCAGTCACCCCGGCCTGGTGTCCGCACTGCAGCAGTGTCACTGCCCTCGAGTAACAACATTTAAATCAAGTCGCAAGTTGTTCCAACACTTTCAGAACCAGCCTCCTGATTTGGAACCTGATCCATAACAGTTCTCAGATCTGGCCCTTTCTTGACAATCCCACCTAACTGGTCTTTCCTAACTGTTCGTTGTCCCACGTACTCCATTTTCCCTTCCCCTAGGATCTGAAGGTTTTACCCACCACGTGACTGCCAGGAGTTAGCTACACTCGGCAAAACAGGTCTCAGGCAGGATTGTCGCAAGAGATTTGGAAATAATAGAGACAGAGAAATAATAGGGACAGAGACAAAATATAGTTTAAAGTGACAGGGGATTCAGGGGTCCTCCAGCATTCCTGTGAGCTGTGAGGCCCAGAGTGAAGTCCCGCATCAGTATTTATTTGTGCAGCAATTAGTTGTAGTGGTTACAGACTTATGTGTACAGATAATTTGATAATTTTAGGTATCAAGGCTCCCCAAAAGTTTCTAGAGATCCCTTAATTAATTCTATCTATGTGAGCAAACAGTTATAAAATTTTTCTAAGATAAACGTCTAAGCCCTAAGTTAAGAATAGAAGTAGCTGAGTATATAAGTTAAAGCAAAAACTGTCAATTAGCAGAAAAGCTAAACAGAAATATAGAGGCTATATATTTCTTTAGTTTCTCACTAACTGAGACATGTGGTCAGGAGTGAAGCAGGAACTGTTTTTGAGGCTAATCGGCTTTAACTGCAGGTGTCTGCGGGGGCTGGCATTCTTTGATCAGTCCTTAACCTGTGACCCCATGCTGAGCTCTGTCTTACACAAGCATCAGGTGCTGGCCTCCAGGTCTGGAGACAGGTGTCACCTTGCATACACCTCTCATCGGTGAGATGCCCCCCTGATGCTAGGCGGCTTCCGGTCTGTGAACTAACATGCTCACAGATTCCTTCAAGGCAAAACCCAGCAAAACTCCTGAAACCTTACATGTCTCCTGTCTTCCAACACATGGCCACCCGGCTAGAGACAACAGTTCCCAGCCTCCCTTGCAGCTAGGTGTCACCACGTGCCCACGCTCTCACCAATACAGTGTTAGCAGGAGTGAGAGGTGTGACTTCGGAGCCATTTGCTTCAAAGAAAAGTGCTCATCTTGGAGTTTTTGCCCTTAACCTTGGACTGGAGTGTGGAGGTAGCAATAACCCAGCTTCGACTGTGCCAGGATATAGTGAGCAACAATATGGGAGCCACAATTTAGGTCCCTAAATCGTCTCATGGAGCCAGCGTGTCCCACCAACCCAGACCACTTGCCTCCCACTACTCAAGAGACAAATAATCTTCTGTCTTCTTTGTGCTGTTGTGTTTTGGGGGCTCTTTGTTACAGCAGCTGAAAGAGGGGGACTCAGCTCCTGGCAGCTTTCATGCTAACCATAAACAGTTTCCCGGAACCCCAACATCAGGCCAGGCCACTCTGTGGCTGTGATGGACCAAGACAGAAACAAGACCACTCCCGAATCATGTATCAACACAACAAAACAACAAATATTGGCCAAACCCCCAAAATGACCAAAACCCCCAACCCCCTCCTGGCTCAGAGCTGACGGCTGCTTCTCCACTGCGGCACCAGCTCGATCTACTCCTCCTGCCTCTGGATGAGATGAAGTCACCTCACACAGCCCAGCTCCTGCAGCAAGTCCTTGCCAACACCCCTTGCTGAGACATCTTAAGTACGTGCAATCGCCCTCATTGCAAATCAGCAAACTCAATGACAGGGAGTGGTGTGCTGGGACATGTTAACAACAGGCTCCCTTGCTCTCGCTCCATCTCTTGCTGTCTCTCGTTTTCACAATCAAACAGCATTTGCCAATTACCATGGTGTCCACGCTCCCACTGTGGCCAATTTCATGCTCCCAACGGTTTTAACAGTGAGCTCACCAAGTTCAACATTCAGCCCCTATGAACCAGGATAGATGTCCCCAGCACCCCTCGGCCACAGGATGCTCCTGGTGGCTTTGACTTTGACACGGCTTAGCCCGTTCGTACATCTTCCTGTTCCCTTGTTCCCCCGCCTTCTCCCTGTCTCCCCAGGGAAGCAGGGGTGAGCTCCCCCCCCCCAGCACCCCATGCTTACAAGCCACCAGAGGCTTCCCCTGTCCCCCAGAGTAAAGTCCTCGCCGTGGTGGGACTGCTTCTCGGTGCGTGGTCTGGGAGCAGTGCCTTGCTGGAAACTCGGCACTTCAGGGCCCACCCGGACCTGTGGGCTTAGAATCTGCATTTTACCAGGCTCCCCTCTGAGAAGCACCTACCCTGTGTGCTCACCCTGTTGACCCCATAGCATTTTCTTCCAGCCATCCTGGCCTCCCTCCAGCCCTCAAACATAGTCATCTCCTTCTCGAATCTGCCCACTTCACAATAATAGCAACAACTAAGTGCTCACAGTCCCTTTTAAGTGCCAAGTATTTTTTTTTTAAATACTTTCCATTGCATCCTTGAGACAACCGTCTGAGGTAGTGTTTAACAGATGATGAGATGGAAGCACAGAAAGGTTGAGACACTTGCCTGTGGTCACACAGCCCCAAAGTGATAGAATCGGAATAAAAGTGTGAGGGACTGGATCGGAGGGTTCTCGGTCTCCCCAGGCTGCTTCCTGCCAACCCCCTCCTGTCTAGACGACAGCCCCTACTCCTCCAGCTCTCCAGCCGCCCGATTGGGATGGCATTTTTTGAAATGTAGATCTGATTGTAGACCTCCTTCCTCAAAAACCCTCCCAGGACTTCTCATTGTCCTTGAGATAAGTAAAATCCAAAGTCCTCCCCATGGCCCATACGGCCACACATGGTCAGACCCTGTGATCCCTCCGGCCACAGGACCTTGGCACGTGCCGTGACTCTGTGGAACTCTCTTCCCCTCACTTGACTAATCGAGTCTGTCTGAGTGTCCGCGGAGGAGTTGCCCAGAGCATGATGTATTTGTGCTCATCGTGGTTGCAACTTTACCTTTATGTCAATGATTCCTTAATTACACTGTGCCCTCCCTTACATGTTGTGAGCGACATGGGAACAGGGCCTCGTCTTCTTGCCCCCAGCGTCTAGCAAAGTGCCGGCATACCGTTGCCCCATAGTAAGTATTTATTGAATAAAGCCCAAAGGGATACAACTTCAATATCAAATGCAATGCGTGCACCTTGGTGGGTCCTAATTCAAACCAGCCAACTGTAAAAAAATAAATACATTTTTGAGATCATTCAGGAAATTTAAATATATACTAGGTAGGAGATGATATTCAAGAATAATTTCTTAGGTGTAATTATGGCATGCTTGGTATGTATTTTTAAAAATCCTTAGCAATTAGAGACACATGCTGACGTGTTCGTGAGTGAAATAAAAGTGCAATTTTCTTTAAAACAAATTCATCCTATAGAATGGCTCCCCCAAAATTGTGTGTTGCGGGATGCCTAGATGAAATGAGATTAGCAAAATATTGATAGGTATTGAAGGTAGGTATTGAGATATGTGGGTTCATTTTTCATTATACTGTTTTCTTTCTTTTCCTTTTTATTTTCGAGACAGGGTCTCACTCTGTGACCCAGGCTAGAGTGTAGTGGCATCTTCATAGCTCATTGCAACCTCCAACTCCTGGGCTCAAGCGATCCTCCTGCCTCAGCCTCCATAGTAGCTGGGACTACAGGCTCGTGCCACCACACCTGGCTTATTTTTCTATTTTTTGTGGAGACGGGGTCTTGCTCCTGTTCAGCTGGTCTCAAACTCTTGGCCTCAAGTAATCCTCCCACCTCAGCATCTCAAAGTGCTAAGATTACAGGTGTGAGCTACAGCGCTCGGCCCAATGTACCCTTTTCTTTATTTTTGTGAATGTTTGAAATTTTCTATTATAAAAAATCCTTTAAATTTCTATCACAAATAACATAGAAATAAAAGTTGTATTCCCTGGAAAAGTGTCAAATGACTCAAAAAGTGACTTTAGTGAAATTAAAGATGCATGTGAAAAAAAAATGTGACTACAATGGTTTCTCATGAAATATGACATTAGAAATAAATATTTCTAGAGGACAACAGTAATTTTCATGTATTTGTTTAAATGTATATGTGTAACTAAATTAATAAAAGTACAAATTTTAAAATAAGTACTTATTGAATCACTGGTGAATGCAACAATTGCAAACTTTTAACAGGCGTCTCAGAGCCCTCCGGGTATGGTGGGGACCAAAAGATGGATGAGACCCACCTCTGTCCTCCAAGAATGCCCAGCCTGGTGGGGAAGGGAGTTTTTGAAAAGGGCTTCAGTGGAGGTGTTATGAGGTGGAGGGGAAGTCCAGGCTAAGGGCAATCAGGGAAGGCTCCCTGGAGGAGGTGCCCAGTGAGACCTAAGGGATAAGAAGGAGTTTGCCAAATAAAGAGGTGACATGGAGAAGGATGTTTCATGAGGAGGGGCCAGCATGGACCAACGTCTTTAACCTAAAGAGAACAGGGTCATCAGCAGGAACTTCCCAGAATTCTCTTCAGCCCCAAGACTAAGGAGCACTTATTGCAATTATAGGTTATTAATTATTTGTGAGGTGGTGTGTTCCATGTCTGCCCTCCCCGCATGAGAACAGGCTGGGCTGTCTCTTCCATTAGGCACTACAGACAAAATGCTTGGGACCCACAGGGCTTTCTAATGGTCTATGATGAAGTCTGCAAACTGATAAACCAATAACGTTATTGGTTCCAAAACGCTACAAAGAAAACAGCAAAATTGAAATGAACAAATGTGAATCTACAAAACCAGCCAACTGGGCGACTCAGTTCAACTCAGCTTTTCTGGGGCTGTACATGAGTTACATTTATCAGTCCAGGTTGGAGATTGGGGTGGGGTGGGGTCTACAAAGGAAAGATGCTTCCAAAGGCATTAAAAGAGAGACCCCCCAGGGCAGAGAAATAACGTCTGTTTTGCCACCAGGGCATTTGCTATGCCCAGCATAGCACCTGGCACAGATTAGGCACTTATAGCATACATCCAGAGAGGAGACCCCCACAGCCAGTCCCAACCTTCTTCCTCTATTTGAAGAGGGTCCGTTCTTCACCCATCCCCAGTTTCCTCAGGGATTTCTGTCCAGTTTAAACCAATGTCTCCCAACACTTGCTGTTCAGCAGATCCGCCTGCCAAACATTAAAAAAATAGAAGCTGGGCACGGTGGCTCACACCTGTAATCCCAGCACTTTGGGAGGCCGAGGTGGGAGGATTGTTTGAGCCCAGGAGTTTGAGACCAGCCTGGAAACATAGCAAGATGCCCATCTCTAAAAAAATAAAATAAATAAAATAAAATAAAATAATTTTTTTTTAAATTAGCCAGGTGCAGTGTGTGTGCCTGCAGTTCCAGCTACTCACTCAGGAGGCCGAGGCGGGAGGATCACTTGAGCCCAGCAGTTTGAGGCTGCAGTTAGCTATCATTGTTACACTGCATACCAACCAAGGTGACAAAGCCAAGACCCTGTCTCTTAAAAAACTAAAGTACAAATGCTAGAGCCCCAATCCCAGAGATCCTTGTTAAATTGAGTCTGAGGTGGCGTTAGGTGTAGGTTGGTTTCTTTGTTTTGTTTTTAAAAACCCTTCCACCAGAAGCGTAACCAGAGTTGAGGACCCCAGACTAAAATAATCATGATAATCCCATTCTTCTTGCCAGGGCGTTGAGGTGAAGATGAGCAGGTAACTGAGTGTTGGCCAATGAGACGTGAGGAGAGGTCACGTGGGGGGTCTAACAATGATGATGACTGGAACTGCAGCAGCCATCCTGTGACCATGAGGTAGGCAAGTTGGTGTACAAAGGTGACATATCCCACACCCAAAAGCTAAGAGACTGTAAAACACTGGGTCCTCAATTACATCATTGGGCTGCTGACTCAACCAAACCCAACCTCCCCACACACAGGTCTAGGTTTCTTTTGGGATGAGATAATGAAATTCCTGCTCTTTTACACTACGCTAAATTCAGTTTTCTGTTGCCCGCAGTCACACGCATCCTTACCAAGATACTACTCCCTAAATGTTGAGCGAGCAAACGAATGAATGAACTGTGCTACAGCCAGAGTGCAAGGAGGCAGCAATGGCACAGAAAACTGCTTGTCAGCAGAGGCCAGACCACACAGGGCCTCAAACGCCAGGCTGAGGCGCTAGGACTCTCTCTTGGGGATGATGGGAAGCCAGGCAGGGCTATGAGCAAGGGACAGCCAGCAGCGATGCTGGCCCCCCCAGAGCCATGTGGGGGAAGTGGAGACCAGGGAGGAGGTGGGGAGAGGGTCTACATGGAAGAGCACAAGACCTGAGACAGGGCTGTGGGAACAGAGAGGAAGGGACAGGGCAGAGAGAGAGGGCAGGAAGATGGGGGCCAGTGGGCTGTGAGAGGGAAGAGAAGGGAGGGGAGGGATGGCACCTGAGGCTTGGCCCAGTGACCGGGTTGGCAGTGGGGCCATTTGAAAATGAAAACCAGTAAGGAGGAAAGCAACTTTGCGGGAAGATGCTGAGCTTCGTGTGGGGACAAGGAGAGTGAGGGTGTCTAGTGTAGGGGAATAATGGCCTCAGTGGGGTTGGTAAGGTCCCAGAGGTTCATGGGAAGTGTAGTTCTGGGTCCAAAGTATTGGCCAAGGAACTGCAGAGCCTCATGGGAAATGTAGTTTAAGGTCCAAAGGGCCAGTGCCCCAGAATCTGGTGACTATGAGTCTGGGGAGGCTCTCACTTTAGAATGCCAGTGACTGGCTTAAGGCCACACTGCGAGCCAGGGCCACCACACAATGCCTGGATGAAGGGACTCCGCCCTCTCCCTCCCCAGATGGCTCAGTACCTGCCTCCCTGTGCGTGCTGGGGTTGCCCACGGCGGGGGAGCACAGGGGCTCCACCTCTGGCTGCATCCTGGGAAGGTGGGCGAGGGATGTCTCAGGAGGGTGGGAAGAACGGTTGTGATGGGACCGCCTGCCCCAGCTCCTACTCCTCAGGTCTCCCTCCTTCTCCTCTTTGAAGCCACGGGAAGAAAATACAGAACTGGAAGGCTGAGACCACAGGGAGATCCGGGTTCCCCTAACCTCAGGGATTCCCTGTATGTGTGTGCCCCGATGCCTTCCCTCCCATTTCCCTGTTTCATCCCCTATCTCTCTCAGTCTCCTGGAGGTCCCTTTCCCATACCTCTCTCCCTCAGTATCCCCCCATCGCTCCGACACCCTCCCTCTCTCCCTCTCTCCCCATCTCTCCTCCCCTCTTGTGCCTGATTTCTCTGCCCACTTGCTCCCCACTTCTCTCCTCCCTCTCTCCATCTCTGAGATCACTCCCATCAGTTTCCCCAGCTTCTCCCCAGGCCCCTGTCCCTCCCTCTCTTCGTAGTTTTTGGCATCTCTCTAACCCTATCACCCCCTCTCTGTCTCCCCACCTCTTTCCCCATCTCTACCCAGTCTCCTTGCTCCACCTCTCTCCTCTCATAGCTGCCTCTGCCACTGTCCTGGTCCCCCTCCCCTCGGTCATCCCCTTTCTGTGCCCACTTGCCCTCTGCTCATCCCTGCCTCACCCAGTAACTGGTAGGACACAGGCAAGATTCAAACAGAAACTGGATTCTCTAGGGGGGAGGGGAAGGTGGGCAGGGGGTCTGGTTGCCATGGTGCCCCTGAAGGGTGGGGGAGGGGCTGGAAGCCTAGACTTCTGGGTCTGGGGTCTCCTTGGCCTCAAGTACTAGAGCAGAGGGGTCTGGCCACAAAGGTGCCCATTAGGCATCCTTTTCTCCTTGTCTGAGAGCTCTCAGCAGGAACTGTGGGAGAGAAATCTGGACCTTTCCTTAGTTATTTCATCTGTCCTCCCAATCTCTGTCTCTGTTACTTGTATCTCTATTTCTCTCCCTTGCTCTCCACAGCCAGGTGGCCTCTGCCTTGACTAGCTATCATTTCTGCTTGCTAAGTGTCAGTTCCCTGCTCTCTAGATAGCAGTGCCTTGATTACCTTAGTGATCTGTTCAGGCAAAGCTTAAGAATCCATCTAGACTACAGCATCAACCCTTGGACTTTTCCTGGACCTGTTAAAAAAGATTATCTTTCTCTTTCCACTGAGGTTGCCAGGCTGGCCAGAGCCAAGGTTGAAGCTGCCAGGGGCCACCTTGTCACCAGGCAGAGAGAGAACTTCCCCGAGAGCAAAGACAACAATGAAGGAAGCAGAGCCCAAAGGTACGGACAGATTCCTGGTGATGACTGGGACACCTCGATCTGAAACCACCCTTTATAAAATTAATAAAAGGCTGTGGTAGGGGCCTGAACTCTGCAAAGGTATAGGCATAGTTCAGGAAATATACATATAAAACCATCCATTGTTCCCTAGCTTGCTTTCCTACAATTGCTTACTACTCAGGAGTCACATAGCTAATGGTCACAAAGATTCTTAGCTTCCTTCACTGCTCTCATAGATAATATCACCCTTGTGAAACCTAAGGCTGGTCTTTGAAATGTCTTCCAGACCCTGCTTTCCAGCAGATCGGCTGATCCACCCAGAGCAATGGCCTCTACTGAGGAACTGACTCAACTGATCTTGCCACCTCTACCTGGTAACTGACTCAGCGCAGGAAGACAATTTCTGCTTCCCAATCCTATGAATTCATCCCCAGCCAATCAGCAGACCCAATCCCCTAGTCCTTTGTGTGCTGAACTATCTTTAAAAACCTTGGCCCCAAAATTCTCAGGGAGATGGATTTGAGAAATTTCTCCCATATGCTAATTTTTTATTATTTTTGTTTGTTTGTTATTCACAGGTCAACATGAAGGAGACGGCGCCCTGTGATATTAAATTTTTTCTCCGCTGTAACTCCAGCTGTCTCAGTGTATTGCCTCCCTCTCGAGCAGTGGGCAAGGACCCTGATCAGGGGAGGGGGGCAACATGCAGCTGTGCTTGTAGCCCTTATCCACCCAATACATTTCCCCTCATTCTTAGGTAAATTCAATTTGAGTATCTGTCACTGGCAATTAAAACAGTCCAGACTTAAATAGTCTCACTCAGTTAGTTCTTCTATAGCCCTGACTCCTTGCATCTTCACATCTCTTTCTCTCCCATCAAGCTGTCCTTCTCCATTTCTCGTTGCCACTTCCATCTCTGTAGGATGAGGCATACCTCTGATTGCCATGAGCACAGGCACCCCTAACCCTCACAGCCCATCAGTCCCAAATTCAGTCCCTTCTGCCTCTCACCTCTCTCTGCTGCTCCCTCTCCTCTCCATTCCACAGTCCTGGCAGCCACTCAAACCTTGTCTTCACCTTCTGGGACCCTTGCCCCAACCTCCTTCCTGTCCTTCTATCCTCCAGTCTCTTGTCCTCATTCCTTTCTCTGCAGACTGGGCTGCAAAAGGATATATCTGTACCCGGGGCTGACTTGCCCCTCCCCTGCTCATAGCCCTCACGTGGCTTCCTAGTGCCTTTGGACAACCTTTCAGCCCTCAGCTGGGCATTCAAGATCTGCATGATCTAGTCCCACCTTCCTCTCCCACCTCACCCCTTCAAATATTCCACAGCCACCATTTATTAATTATTTTATTTATTAATTATTTTATTTAATTTATTAATTATTTTATTTAATTAATCCTTCCCACACATTCCACCCCATTTCTGTCTCCATTCTTTCTACACACTGGGCTTCTGCCTGGAATGCTCTTCCAACCTCCCCTCTCCCCCATGCCCAAATGCCCTCATCCTTTAATAAGAAGCTCAAATGCCCCTTCCTCCGGGAAGCCTTCTCTGACTCCTCCTCCTACCTGTTGTGTTTTCCATCCCCTCCCTCTGCATGTTCTTTATCTGCTCCCTTTCTGGGCTTCTGAACACTGTGCCCCATCTGTCTTGCTCGGGAACTTTTCCCCTGACTCATCTCTAGCTCTCCAGCATCACCCTACACAGGACCAGACCTCTGGGAAGTTCAGGAGATGTGAGTTGAATGAATAAATGATTGACTATTTCCCTCTATTTCTGTGACCCACATTCAGTAGTTTCTAACCCCATCTGCCATGTCCCTCCTGGTCCTCATGAGGTAACGTGGGATGAAGAAGAGAACATGGGCTCTGGAGTCAAACAGACCAGCATTGAATGTTGCTCCCAGACTGTGCAACCTTGGGCAGATAACTTCCCCCTCTGACCCTTGATTTCCTCACCTCTTGCCCTCCTCAATGCTACCTTCAAGGGTTACTGGTGCTTGAACGAAGGTACATCAACCCCCCTAAGTCTGAGCCAGGCACAGAGGACCAGGCACAGCTGAAGGCTGTTCCTTTCCCAGTTCTCTGTCTCTGCATCTAGCTTCGGCTGCCTCTTCTGGAGATCTCTCTTTGGGTGTCTTTCTCTCTCCTTCTCAGCATGTCTCTCTCCCTCGTCTCTGTCTCCATCACTCTACTCCCCCATCTCTCTGTCGGTTTCTGTTTCTCTATCTCTTTGCCTGTCTCTCTGCTTTATATCACTACATGTCTCTCTCTGTCACTCACTCCATTTCTCCGGGCCATCCCTGTTCCATTTCCTAGCCTGGCACCCAGCCTGGGACACACATCTCTGAATCAGCATTTTCCTCCAATTCTGGAAATAATGTCAACATCGTAGTGGCATTGGTTGTAGCCCTGGTCGGAGAGTCTGCCTTCCTGCCGCCCTGTCCACACAGCGCCTGGCCAGCATGGCCAGCTGTCTGCTCAGTGTTTGCTCTCTCCAGGGGAGCACCAGGACAGCAAGTGAACCTGTGTTTACACACATGTGTGCCTGTCTCTGGAGTGTGTCTGCATCTATTTCCAGGCAAATTTGTGTGTGAATCTGTAGGTATTTGTGAAAACTCATTCATTCACTCACTCGTTCATCCATCCATCTATCCTTCATCCAACTATTCATCTATCCATCCACTCATCCATCCATCCATCCATCCATCCATCCATCCATCCATCCCTTCATCTAACCTTCCATCATCCATCCAACCATCCATCAATACATCTCTGTATCCATACATTCCTCCATTTATCCATCCATTTGTTCACTCATTCATTCAACCAACCAATATTTATTGGAGGTGTAACACATGCGTGGCACTGTGTCAGGCAGCCAGGACACAGCAATGAACAAAACAAAGTGCTACCCCCGAGGAGCTTACATGCTCAGGAGACCTCAATGTGCCAAACTCACTCTTGCCTTCAGGTGCTACAAGGGCTGTTCTTTCTTCCTGGGGCATTTCCTCTCTTCTCCCCCATCTTCCCCTGGCTTATTCGGACTCACCCTTCTCAGCTCAGCTCAAAGGCTACTTCCTCAGGGAAGAAAGCCCTGACCTTGTTCTCAAACACACAGCACCCTGGACTTTGCTTCAGAGCGTCGATCCTAGGATGAAGATCACAGTATGTGCAGTTATTTGATGGTTATCTGTCTCTTCCACTAGACCATGAACTCCCCCAAGGCCAGCATTTTGGTCAATTTCATTCCCAGCTGAATCCCTGGGGCCTAGAAAATGCGCGGCACACAGTAGGTGCTCAGAAAGTATTTATCAAATGACTGCATAAGTGAAGTTGAATGAGTGTGGAGGACTCTATCTCCATCTCCTGGCTCCCTGTCTCTTTATATTATCCTGCACTTCTAGCAGTGATGCCATGCAAGGTCCTCAATCATCCTCGATGCAAATGTAGTGAATAAAAGCAAGAGCTCTAGATTCAGACCCATGTGGTTTTCAGTCTCCACTCTGATGCTTCAGATGGGTGGCCTTGGGCAGAGCACGTCCCCTCGCTGAGCCTCAATTTCCTCACTTGTCAAGCGAAGTTAAAGTTTAATGAGCAAATGCATGTAACTTTTAGTTATGACAACCTTAAAAATGAACCATTTTCCCTAAGCACCTCCTGCGAATTTAATCTTCAAAACAACTCAATGAGCTAGAACCTGATTTTTTAAAAAAATTATTACTATCCTCGCTTACAGAGAGGGAAACTGAGGCATGGGGCATAGAAGTATCCCATCCAAGGTCTCAGGGTGAGTGCTGGGAGTTGAACCCTGGTGTGCTGCCCCCAGAGTCACACAGATACCCAGTGCGCTGCGGCCGCCTCACAGCGCCCAAGCAGCCTCAGAATCTGAGCATCTCTTTGGAAACGTGTCGTGGCAGTCTGGCAAGCCCATATGCGTACACATCTCTGAGTGTGTGTGCCTCGCTGTTTGTCTCTCCCTGTGGAACAGGGCTGCCTGGGGACTCTGGGCAGGCCTGGCTGGGTGCAAGGGTCCGGCTGTGAGAGCCGGCATCGGGACCTGCATGCACCTTTAGGTGTGCACCCGCGCGAGCTTCCCTGGGTGCAAATGCAGACCCGTTTGGAAAAATGCAAGAAGCCATGAGGTTGGGACACAGAATTCTGGGGGATTCTGTGCTATGATAATGACTGCAAATTGGACACACAGGCATAATGGGTGGGTGGGGGTAATCTAATTAGAGGGAGAGCCTAGGAGACTTGTCTTAAAGTTGTGTTTGCAGAAGAAGCAAGTGATTTTTTTTTTTTACTTAGAAACTATATTTATTTGGGTGTCCCTGGTTGAGGGTCAGTGCTGGGGGAGATTGGGGGGGGCCTCCAAGCCACCGCTCTGGGCTGCCGCTATGGCTATGTAGATCTAGACCTTACCCAAGGGATTTAACCTCCATAGGCCTTGGCTGTCTCTTCTGTGAAATGGGAATAACATAGTCGCAGCCATCTCATAGGGCCAAAGTGAAGATTAAATAAAAAATGCTTTCAATGCACTTACTTATCACATTGCTACTTATAGTAAGTGGCAATTATCATTAACTGCTATTAATATACCAGAAATTGTTACTTGCTTCTTTTAGGAAATATTCATTAAGCACCTACTTGGTGCCAATGCTTGGTCTATACTGATTGTTTTTCCAAACTGTGAGTCCCTTAGGAAATAAGTTTATAGTCTATATTTTGCTGATGAGGAGACCGGGGCTCAGAGCACGAGGCATAAGATCATACAGGCAGGAGCTGGGCCAGGCAGGATTCAAACCCAGGTCCCTGCTTGTACCTCTGTGGCTCTGTACCTCGGACTCCCGAGTCTCGACCTGCCCTCCCACCACCAGACCTCAGAGCTGCTGGGATGGGAGGGAGGACCTGAAGTCCTGCGTCCTGGGAAAGAGGGGGCTGGGGCCCCGGACTTCTGTGTCCGAGAGAAGAGGGGCGGAGGACCAGGCTCCCTGGACCCTGGGGGAGGAGCACGTCATGATCCCAGGTCTCTGGATCCCCGATGGGGAAGCGCACCGGGTCTCCGACGCCCCGGTCCCTGGAAATCTTCCTCCTTCCTCGCTGAGGCCGCACGATTTTGGCTTTCCGGCCGCGGGTTCGGAGGGGAGGAGGGAAGGGGTGCGGGGGGAGGAGCCGCAGACCTGCGACAGGGGCCGCGGGAGGAGCCAAGCCGGCACCGCGGCTGGCGCGCGGGGCTGCGGCGGCGGCGGCGGCGGCTCGGGGTGAGTCCGCTCCTCCCCTCCCCCTGCCACAGCCCCCGCCCCAGCCTGATCCCAGGGGACTGCCCCGGCGCGCGGGGGAGGGGGTAGGTGCGGTGGCGCGAGGACCTCGGGCCAGGGAGTGGGAGTGCTGCAGCGCTCGCTGGCCACCCCGAGGGAGGGGCACGTGGCCCTGGAAGGGGGTCTTGAAGCACCTGGGTGTACCCCACCCCTCGCCCACCGATCCCCAGCGCATGGGGATCCTTTACCCATTCCATGACCCCTAAAGACTTAGGACTTCGCGGCCTTTTGGGGTCCTGGACACCGTTCCCCTCCCCTGCATCGTCTTGGGACCCCGGCATCTTAACTCCCCCACCCTCCCCCAAAAAATTCCCATCCTCTCTGCAGCCCGAGGAGGCATTAAGGACTTCAACTCCCAGCAGCCGCTGCGGCGCCGGGTCTAGAAAGCAGCAGAAGCGCGAGCGCGAGACCTGCCGGGAATTGTAGTCTCTAAGCTCTTAACGGGGCGCTGGGGCCCCAGAGGTGGGAGGGGGTGGCTGGACCCCCTAGGGGTCTGGCAGCTGGCCCGAATAGGGCAAGATGTGAGGCTTAGGCTCAGCCTTTCCTCCTAGCCTCGGCCTCCGGATCAGACACCTCCTCTGACCACCCGGCGCGTGGGGACCGGTCCGCAGCCCCTTGTCCGCTCTACCAACCCCCATGGGCTGCCGCCCGCCGCCGCCTCGGCTGCCACCCAGGACACAGCAGGGGTAAGCGCAGGTGAGTCTGACCATGCCTGTCGCGGAGTCTTGGCCTTCTGCAGCACCCCCGCGACACCTGTCCATCTGTGAGCCCTGTGCTGTCTGTTCCTCATTTCCCCTGCATCCTCCTTTCAACCCATCTTGATGCCTGGCTCCAAGCCATGTGTCACTAATTCACCTCTCCTCACATGCACCTCTCTCTCCTGGCCCCTGCTCATTTATGTCCCCCATCCAGGCTTCCCTTCTGGACCCATGTCTGTCTGCCCAGCCCTCCTCTCTCTCCTTTTGTCTGTCTGTGATCTCCAGGCATTATCTATCTGCTGCCTCCTGTATTTCTGCCCCAGTCCATCTTCCCGTCCCACTGCTTCTCTCCCAAAGGCGTCTCTGCCCCTCTTCACTGCCCCGCCGTCCCCTCATCTCTCTAGCCCCCATGAATTACACACCAGCTCGTACTTGATCACTTGGCCATCCCAAGTCCCAATCCTGGACTTTCCATCTGTCTGCCTGTTCACCTCTCCCTCTTTTCTGAGCCCCAGTTTGCCCTTCTCCTTATCTGTCTCTGCTCCCCACATCTCTCCCTCCCCCAGCATGGTCCCCATCTCTGCATCTCCATCCCGCCCCAGCTACCACCGCACATGTCCACCTCTTCCCTGTCTACCTGCATCCATCCTCTTTCCTGCTCCTCCCCTTGTCCCCGCCATCTGACCCTCCAAGCATTTTCCCCACTCTGAGGCCCTGCTTATCCTGTTCCTGCTGCCTAAAATGCTTTTCCCCACGCTGGCCCCACCGCCCACTGCCCATGGGTGGCCCTGCCTCATCCTTCAGGTCTGGGAGAGTCCTCCCTGACCACCCCCTGCCCAGTTCCTTTGTGGCACCTTCGCCAGCTATGTCTGGTCGACTGTTTCTCCCAGTCTGAGACTGTCTTGTTTATGTGTCTTTGTTTACTTGTTTACTATTTGTCTCCTCTCGTTGGATCGTGACACCAGGAAGTCGGGGAACTCCAGTACTTTGTTTTCTGCTGAATCTGCAGCAGCCAGCACTGTGCCTAGTGTGTAGTTGGTGCTCAGTGAATATTTGTTGGATGAATGAATAAATGATGAATGGCTATCACCTTGTCAGTCCATCCCTAACTTCTGTGCCTTTGTTTATGCACCCCTGATCTTTGTGTCCCTTGTCCATCCCCTTATTTGTGTGTCCTGACTCTCGGCCCCTTGACTGGCCTTCCCAATCTCTTCCTCCTTGTCGATCTGTCCCTATTTTCTGTCTTCTTGTCCGTTCACACCATCTCTGTCCCCTGGGTTTGTCCAGCCCCTCTTTCTGTCTTCTTCCCTGTCCACCCTTCATTTCTGTCCTCTTGTCTGTCTGCTCCTAATTTCTTTTTCTTTGTCCATCCCTCCCTCTACTTGTCCCACTGTCCTTCCTCCAATCTCTGTCCCTAATCCATCTCCCCTAATCTCCATCCCCTTTGCCCATCCTTCCTTTGCTATCGCTATCTCTTTCTCTTTCTGCCCTTCTCTCTGCACCCTGCCCACCCTCTCCCCCGTTCCGTTCCCCATCTGCACCCTTGCCCCACCCCTCCCGCACGCAGGACTGGACGGCCACCATGTCAGGAGACTACGAGGATGACCTCTGCCGGCGGGCACTCATCCTGGTCTCAGACCTCTGTGCACGGGTCCGAGATGCTGACACCAACGACAGATGCCAGGAGTTCAATGACCTGCGAATCCGAGGCTATCCCCGGGGTCCAGATGCAGGTCAGCACCCCTAGCTGTCTTGGCCAGCCCCCTGCCCACACTACAGCCAGGAGATTCAGAGCAGGCTACTCAGCTTTCTATTCCCTGTGGGACCCGTCCCTCATAGAGTCTTGCCTCCATCCTGCCTACTGCTGCTCCCCTGCCCCAAACCTCTCATCTAAGGAGAAGGAGCTGTGTGGTCCACTTGACCCCTGACCTTTTGAGTTTTGCCTTGTGGGCCTCCCCCAACTACCACCACCAAATATCCCCTTCAGATATCTTTGTGCCTCTTGCATAATGGTTAACAGCTCAGGCTCTTGAGTCAGACTGGTTTGCTTGGGCTCAAATTCCACCTCCCCCACTTACTCACTTTAGGTAAGTGACTTCTGTGCCTCAGTTTCCTCATCTGGAAAATGGGGCTAATGAAAGTGACTACCTCATGGGGCAGATGAGAGCCTCCAATGATATAACACATGTGAAGTGCTTAGAGCAACACTGTATGCATGGTGGCCATTCAATGAATGTTGGGATTTATTTATACCAACTGTGTTGCAGACGGTATGTGAGGTCCTTTGCATATTTCACTGACTATTCACAGTGCCCCTTTGTGGTACATATAATCTGAGTTTTCAACAGGGGAAACTGAGGCTTAGAAAGGTGAAGTGACTTGTCCAAGGTCGTAGAGCTGGGAGGCAGCAGGGTTCTGAGAACTGGGAAATACCGTGAGTGCCATTGCTCAGCTGAGGAAACACGACCTGGAGGAAGCGTGTGCTCGGACATTATAACAGTCACCCTCGCTGAGCACCGGGGCAGGGCATGCCATCTCGAGTGCAGGATGTCCAGGTGACAATGATGAGGGATGAGGCCCAGAGAGCTGCAGTCACTGGCTCAGAGTCTCACAGCCTGTAGGTAGCAGAACTAGAATTTGACATTGGATATTCTACAACAGAACTGCAATCTGGGGGTCCCCAAGACCACTCTGAGGTTCAGTGATTTGCTAGAAGGACTCCCAGAGCTCAGCAAAGCTGTGAACTATGGTTATGGTTTCTTATAGGATCCAGGCTAAAATCAGCACAGGGAAGAGGCACATGGGGCAGAGTCCAAGAGAGACCAGGCACAAGCTTTCAACTGCCCTCTCCCAGTGGCGTTTCATGGACAGTGCTTAATTTTCCCAGCAATGATGGGTGATAGCATGAACAGGGCATTGCCAACCTAGGAAGTTCACCCGAGCCTTGGTGTCCAGGGTTTTTATTGGTGGGTCGGTCATGTAGACAGGGCTGATTGTCCAGGTAGCTGACCGTAGTCTGCAGCCCCTTCAGAAGTCGAGCTGATGCCCAAGGCCCCCAGCATAAATCACAGTGTTAGTTTCAGCATAGAGTATCCAGCTTGGTCCAAGGCCCCAGGTAAACAAAGACACACTTATCAGCCAGAACATTCCAAGGGCTTAGAGGTTCCCTCCCAGGAGGTGATCAAGGGCAAGACCTTCTTTTAGACAAGGTGAACCTTTTGCTGCACAACTACACTACCTCTCCAAGCCCAAAGCTCTCCCCAGTCCACACTGGAGGATTTATCTTTTGACCTGGACAAGGTCTGGGTCAAGCTGGCAGCAGGGGACAGCATATATCTGATTTTTCTGCCAAGTAACCCCCTTTTCTCAATTCCTCCCATGTTCAGGGGGCTGGTAAGGTCCTTATCTTTGCCTTCTAACACACCTCCAGAACTCTCAGAAGGTGTTGGTCACTTAAAAAGAAGCACCCTGAGGAGGGAGGAGTAGGAGACTCAGGGTTCTTTGGCCAGTGCCTCATATATGGCCCTGCAGGGTCACTTGCTGTCTCTCAGAGTTTCAGTTTTCTTGCCTATAAAATAGGATAAGTCATTCCCAGATTCCACAGTGTCATGACGATTAATGTCATGCACTCCTGTGGCTTTGCTGGGCAGTCCAGGGCCAGAAGTCATCCCTTTCCTCCTGTGTGTCCCCTAATGTGACAGGACACAGCTATTCGGTTCAGCTGTCCTTGCTATAGCAGTGGCTTAGCTGCCAGCTCTGCCCCCCATAACCCACTGTCTGTATGGAGCAGAGATTTCCCCTGTCTCCTACTTTGCTGACACCCAGGAGTCAGCTCCCCCCAAAATTCTCCTTTACTTGAAGATGATTTCTGAAAAACCCCACTCCTGGTACCAATTACTGAATGAACCAGAAAGCTTTGGTTGTAAGAACGGGGCTGCACTCGGCTTGGCATTCAGAACGTGTATTGGTGTTGGTGTTGGTCAGTTATGGTGTTGGTGGTGTTGGAAGCAACTGGTGATGGTAGCAACGGGATTTATTATTCTAAGAAAGACTCATGTTTGAACTACCATTAATTGGGAAGTTTTGAGGTGTAATAGCATCATGGTGAAGACCATGGGCTTTGGAGCCAGGCTTCTTCCTAGGCTCAAATCCTGACTTGACCACCTACCAGCTGTGGGACTTTGGGCAGGTGACTGTGTCTGTTGACTTCAGGGCTTTTTTTTTTGCATGGAAAACAGGGATAATTGTGTCACCAAACTCACGTGGTATCTTCAAACCACGATAAGTGGCAGGATCAATTGTTCCTATTTGGCACATGGAGAATGTAAGGTTCAGAGTGGTTAAGGTGTGTTCCCAAGGCCACACAGCAAGCTGTGATTTCAACCCTGGCCTACCTGTGCTTTGCAGCACCCACTCTTCCTTGATCGTCTCTGAGCATTTTGGGGGACCTTGGTCCTACCTCAGATGTTGTGTTATTCTCTCTTATAGAGAGGCAGCATGGGGTAGCAATTAAGAAAATAAAATCTGGAGAGAGACTGCTGGATTGAAATCTCAGATCTGTCATTTACTGCCTGTGAAACCTTATACAAACCACTCAACCTCTCTGTGTCTCAGTTCCCGCATCTTTAAAATGGTTACGTAGAAATACCTTGCAGAGCGTGCGGTGTGCACGTTAAGTGATGCACGTAAAGTGCTTAGGACAATGCATGGCAAATACTAAGTGTTAGCTCTTTGGGGACGTAGAGGGAGGGTGCTCTGACCTCACCTGACCCCTACCTCTGTCCTCACTCTCTCCAGACATCTCCGTGAGCCTGCTGTCGGTCATCGTGACATTCTGTGGCATTGTCCTTCTGGGTGTCTCCCTCTTCGTGTCCTGGAAGTTGTGCTGGGTGCCCTGGCGGGACAAGGGAGGCTCGGCAGTGGGCGGTGGCCCCCTGCGCAAAGACCTAGGCCCTGGGGTCGGGCTGGCAGGCCTGGTAGGCGGCGGCGGGCACCACCTGGGGGCTGGCCTGGGTGGCCATCCTCTGCTGGGCGGCCCACACCACCATGCCCACACCGCCCACCACCCGCCCTTTGCCGAGCTGCTGGAGCCAGGCAGCCTGGGGGGCTCTGACACCCCTGAACCCTCCTACTTGGACATGGACTTGTATCCAGAGGCCGCAGCTGCAGTAGCCACTGGGGTCAAACCGAGCCAGACGTCCCCTGAGCTGCCCTCTGAGGGCGGGGCAGGCTCTGGGCTGCTCCTGCTGCCCCCCAGTGGGGGGGGCTTGCCCAGTGCCCAGTCGCACCAGCAGGTCACAAGCCTGGCCCCCACCACCAGGTGAGAGAGGCTGCTGGGCTGAGGGGCCCACTCTGAAGTTCTGCTCTTCCGCTGTGTCTTTTTCCCATCTGTGGCTCGTCTGAGTGCTGGCGTTAGGAGGGGGATTGGGGGATTGGCCCCTGGATCCCGGAGAAAGAGCAGGCTGGGGCCCCAGACTACTTAGACCCAAAGGAGGGAACTGGAGGCCTGGATTCTTGGGCCCAGAGTAAGGAGGAAGCTGGGGGCAGGACTCCAGGGTCAGGAAAGTGGGAGAGAATGGGGCTCAGACACTCAAGTCCCTAAGGCACGAGGCTATTCATCCCCTTCACTGTAAGCCAGGATTAGTAGTGGGACCTGGAGTTCATTCATGCATTTTCCTCATTCTGCACATGAATATTGAACATCGAGTATGAGCCAGGCCTGAGCTGGATATCAGGAAAACACTGGACTCTGCCTTCATGTCACTAACAGTCCAGGGGAGGTGGCCCCAGCTTGGCTGTCCCAGTGCAGCCAGGCTACGGAGGCAGTAAAGCAGCTCAGAGGACTGGATGGGGCAGGGGGCTCCCCAGGATGCCCCAATCCCAGTCTGGGAGGAGGCTGGGGGCTCCCTGGAGGTGGGGGTGTCTTAGCTGAGACCTGCAGGGTGGTGAAGAGTTAGCCAGGCAGAGCGGCACGAGTGTGACCTGGACATCCCTAGCAAAGGCAAGCGGGGCTGAAGATGGTAGTGCCCTGTAGGAACAGCCAGTGGTCACCAAGGCATGAGAATACGTTTGAAAAAAGAACACCTGGGTGATGTGGCTGCAGATACCAGACCATGTGAGGCCTTCAGCACTGGACTGAGGGGTGGGACTTTGTCCAGGGGGTACTGGGGAGCCATGGCAGGCCTGTGAGCAGGGGAGGGGCAGGGTAAGTTCTGGGTGTAGAAGGATCCTCTGGGGCCACGTGCCCCTGGTGGGAGAGACTGGAGGCCAAGAGTCCAGGCAGGAGAGGACAAGTCCTGAGCTGGGGCAGTGGGGACAGAGAGGAGGGAGGATTGGGAGATTCAGAGAAGGGCAGAAGAGGGTTGGAAGAAGCCTGGGCTGCGTAGGGCCCAGAGGTCCATGGAGAAGTTATTCTGGGTCACCAGCTTGAGGTCCAGAGGAGGCTTCTGGAAGCCGGTGCATCCAGGGGTCTGGGCTGGAACTACCTTAGAAATAGAGATGACCCCACCCCCAGATAAAAATGGGGAAACTGAGGCTCAGAAAGCACAAGTGGCTTGCTCAAGGTCACGCAGTGAGCAAAGCAGGGGATATGGGGCTGGAGGGGTTGAGGCAAAGGCAGGGAGAAATCCCCCCAGTCTTTGGATGGGATCGATGACCCCACCTTGACCTCCCCCACTTCCTACAGGTACCCAGCCCTGCCCCGGCCCCTCACCCAGCAGACGCTGACCTCCCAACCGGACCCGAGCACTGAGGAGCGGCCACCTGCCCTCCCCTTGCCCCTGCCGGGCGGCGAGGAAAAAGCCAAACTCATCGGGCAGATCAAGCCGGAGCTGTACCAGGGGACGGGACCTGGTGGCCGGCGGGGAGGCGGGGGCCCAGGCTCCGGAGAGGCGGGTGCAGGGGCGCCCTGCGGCCGCATCAGCTTCGCCCTGCGGTACCTCTACGGCTCCGACCAGCTGGTGGTGCGGATCCTGCAGGCCTTGGACCTCCCCGCCAAGGACTCCAACGGCTTCTCGGACCCCTACGTCAAGATCTACCTGCTGCCAGACCGCAAGAAAAAGTTTCAGACCAAGGTCTGGAGCTGCAGGCTGGACATCAGGGTCCCACGGAGAAGGGACCTGGGGACCTGGACCCCTGGGGCTGGGGGCTGGACTCTTGGGTGAAGGAAGAGGGGCTGGGGGCGGGGACTCCTGGGTCCCGGCAGTAGGGGCTGATGGGCGTGGTGTCGGTCTCCCTCTGTCACCCACCCCCGCCAGGTGCACAGGAAGACCCTGAACCCTGTCTTCAACGAGACATTTCAGTTCTCGGTGCCCCTGGCAGAGCTGGCCCAGCGCAAACTGCACTTCAGTGTCTACGACTTTGACCGCTTCTCACGGCATGACCTCATCGGCCAGGTGGTGCTGGACAACCTCCTGGAGCTGGCGGAGCAGCCCCCCGACCGCCCACTCTGGAGGGACATCGTGGAGGGCGGCTCGGTCAGTGGCCCCCGCCCCTCCCCCCCCACCACTCCCCCCCACCTCTCTCCCCTGGTGCCCCCTTCCTGGCGCCCCGAGACCCCTCGGTTTGCAATCGCCTTCCCCTGAGCCCTCGTAACCTCCTGACTTCTTGTCCCCAGATCTTCTTGTAAAATGTGTTGTGCTGGGGACTATTGTACACGTGCAAGACATGACGGCACTGCTGCCCTCTCCAAGTTAATCAAATATTAGCCTTGTGCTTGGATCCCAGATTTCCCAACCTCTCACCCCCTAGCCATCTGATGACTTGGACCCTCTGACCCCAGATTTGTGATCCTCCAACTTCCCGACCCCAGAGCTCCTGGGCTTTTGTTTTCCCAGCTTCCTTCTCCGTCTAACCTCCGGACTCCAGGGCCTGGCCTTCCAGAAGGCCCCGTCCCTCTCCCGTCTCTGAACTCCAGCTCTGTCGCATTCTGACCCTCTGCTCTCCGACGGCCCCCCTGAATCCTGGTGGTCTGATCCCCCAGGCCTCAGACATACTGGGACCCCCAATATCCTGACACCTCACAATTCTCCCCGCTCCCAGATTGTAGGGCCTGCAACCCTGACCCCCAACACCCCCTTCCTCATTCCTGATGACGCTGCCCTCTGGCACCTCCCTCTCCTGTATGCGCGTCCCTCCCCCGGCCCCATTCCTAGGTCCTTGCTGGGTGTCCGGAGCCCTTCCACCCCCCAAGCTCAGACCCCCAGCCTCAGCCTGTGGTTTACCCAGCGTGCCGGTGCTCTGCCCCGTGGGGTGGCCGTGTGGGGTGGCCGTCCTTACATGAGGAGGGGCCCAGCTCCGCCCACCTGGTGGCCACCTGCAAGTCCAGCCTCTGGGATCTAAGTGCCTGGTTCTAGGATCCCTGCACCCAGGCCCCTGTCTGTCCCCCCAACCCCTGCTCCTGGTCACCGCCAGCCCCATGCGAAGACCCTCTCCCTGCGTCCATCTTGGCCTGCTTCTTGTGTCTTCTCTTCTCATTTTCTCTCCCCATCTTTATCACTGCTGCCTTCCTCTTTCATTCATTCATTCATTCATTCATTCATTCATTCATTCATTCCTTCAACCACTGTGTTTTCAGGCTCAGGACCTAGGGACCCCAGACAGCCCTCAGGAGCTCCAGGCTGTCACACAGTTGGTGCCAGGGGAACAGGAGGGCCATCTGCTCAGGGGATTGAGGAGCTTGGGGGATGAGGTGACAGGAAGCCCCGACCTGAAGGCCACGGAGGAGCCTGGAGATGGGGAGGGACGGCCCGGGCGAAGGCCTGAGGGGACTGAGTGGGGCGTCTGAGGACCTGGCTGGGAGCCACAGGCTGGACAGGAGAGGCCACAGCTGCTGGCTCGCTCCGGCCACTGCTCCAAGTCTATCTGTGTGTCGGGTGGGAGGCGTCTGTCTCCCCAGAAACCTCGTTCTGGGTCTCGGTGTGTCTCCTGCTCTCTCAGGCTGACTCCTCGAGTGTTTCCTCTCAGTCTTTGCCCCACTCTGCCTGTGACCCTGCTCTCTCGTTCCCCGTCTGTCACCCTCTCTGGTCTTTTACTCACCTGCGAGTCTGTGTCCTCCCATCTCTCTGGTCTCTGTCCCCCTCTCCTTTGGGTCTCTGACCCCATCTCTCTGGGTCTCTGTCCCCACCCCGGGTCTCTGTCCTCATCTCTCTGGTCTCTGTCCCCATCTCTCTGGGTCTCTGTCCCCACCCCAGGTCTATGTCCTCATCTCTCTGGTCTCTGTCCCCATCTCTCTGGGTCTCTGTCCCCCCTTCTCTGGGTCTCTGTCCTCCCCCCCAGGTCTCTGTCACTCTTCCTTAAGAACTCTGGGGGTCTGTCCTGCCGACTGCGTGTCTCAGGGTTTGGCCTCTGTCTCCGTCTGTTTCCACTGTGTTCTCTCTCCCTCCGCCTCCCTCTCTCCCCTCACTCACGCCTCTTCCAATCTTCCCTGCAGAACAAAATAGGCTTTGACGGTGGCGGGCAGCTGCGGCCAGGGGAGTCACCAGGCCTTGGCCCAGAGTCAGATTGTTAAGTGGATCGGAAACCTGAGCCCTGGATGTCAGGGAGGAGAGCTGGAGGCTCAGGAAGGGAGAGAAAATCAGCAAGAGACGGGTAGACACTGAGGCGAGATATCCCTGAACCCCTTTCCCCAACTGCAGGAAAAGGCAGATCTTGGGGAACTCAACTTCTCACTCTGCTACCTCCCCACGGCCGGGCGCCTCACCGTGACCATCATCAAAGCCTCTAACCTCAAAGCGATGGACCTCACCGGCTTCTCAGGTGGGGTCTGAGGGAGGAGGGGCTGGGGCCTGGACCCCTGGGTCTGAGGGAGGAGGGGCTGGGGACATGGACCCCTGGGTCTGAGGGAGGAGGGGCTGGGGACATGGACCCCTGGGTCTGAGAGAGGAGGGCTGGGGACACGTACAACGAGGCGCTGGTGTTCGACGTGGCCCCGGAGAGCGTGGAGAACGTGGGGCTCAGCATCGCCGTGGTTGACTACGACTGGTGAGGGGCGCGGCCCGGGCGGGGGGCGCGGGGTGCGGCCGCCATGGCGGCCCGTGCTCACCACCCCCAACCCCCAGCATCGGACACAACGAGGTGATCGGCGTGTGCCGCGTGGGCGCCGACGCCGCCGACCCGCACGGCCGCGAGCACTGGGCCGAGATGCTGGCCAATCCGCGCAAGCCCGTGGAGCACTGGCACCAGCTGGTGGAGGTGAGTAGGGCTCCTGCTCCCCTCTCAGCCCCTTCATTCGTGCAAAGCATGGCCTCTGGGCTGCGCACTCAGAAGGCCTAGGTTCGAATCCCTGCTCTGCCAACTTTCCCTGTGTGACTTAGAGCGAGTTAATTAACCTTTTGTGCCTTGTTTTCCTCAGTTGGGAAATGAGGATGTTGATAGCATCCACAGTTAGGATAAATGTGAGATTTGTTAAGTGTTCACTAAATGGTCGGCTACTGTTGTGATTACCCAATGCCAAGTCCGAAATAAAAGGGGGAAACTGGGTGGTAAGATGGAGCAAGGGTTTTTGATTTGGGGTTCTTTTTTAGAGCAGGCTGTGAAAAATTAGCTCATTTTCATATACTGGATGGGCATCAGCAATTTTCTTTTTTTTTTTGAGACAGAGTCTCACTTTGTTGCCCAGACTAGAGTGGCGTGGCGTCAGCCTAGCTCACAGCAACCTCAAACTCCTGGGCTCAAGCGATCCTCCTGCCTCAGCCTCCTGAGTAGCTGGGACTACAGGCATGTGCCACCATGCCCGGCTAATTTTTTCTATATATATTTTCAGTTGGCCAATTAATTTCTTTCTATTTTTAGTAGAGACAGGGTCTTGCTCTTGCTCAGGCTGGTTTCAAACTCCTGACCTTGAGGGATCCTCCCTCCTCGGCCTCACAGAGTGCTAGGATTACAGTTGTGAGCCACCACACCCAGCCAGCAATTTTTAATAAATGAATAAGAAAATAATAAAATAAAACAGAAAATTTCATAAGGCAGCTCCCATTGTAAAGATCATAATGTCAATTTTTTTTACCCTGTGGGTTGTGGTCCAAAAGGTTTGGAAGTCTGGGAGGTAGAGGACATCTGGATGGGGTTTGGGGCTTTTATGGTGTCAGGGAGGGCCTCTCTGAGGAGGTGACATTTGAGCAGAGGTCTGGAGGTTGCAAAGGAGTGGGCTCAGGAGAAGGTTTGAAGAAGGATGCAAGGAAAGGGCACAGCACAGGGAAAACCAGGAGGCAGGGGCCAGGAGCGGTGGCTCACGTCTATAATCCTAGCACTCTGGGAGGCCAAGACAGGAGGATCGCTTGAGCTCAGGAGTTCCAGACCAGCCTCAACAAGAGCAAGACCTGTCTCTACTAAAAATAGAAAAAATTAGCCGGGGATGGTGGCGCATGCCTGTAGTCCCAGCTACTGGGGAGGCTGAGGCAGGAGGATCACTTAAGCCCAGGAGTTTGAGGTTGCTGTGAGCTAGGCTGATGCCACGGCACTTTAGTACAGGCAACAGAGCAAGACTCTGTCTCAAAATAAAAAAAGAAAGCCAGGGGGCAGGGGCGGGGCTGTTTAAAAGTTTAAGATCATTACTTGGTTAAGAGAAATCATCAGTTGTTGCATTTATTATCATCAGTACATTGCTTTTTAAATCACTGATTAGTTCTCTATTATGTAAACATATCATAATGTCAATCTATTCTGTTAATGGACATTTGGGTTATTTCCACTTTGGGGATATTGTGAATAAACTTGTTACAAACATTCATCAGCTAAAAAAAAAGAGAAATCATCAAACATGGTCATTCTCTCCATAGAAAACAAGAAGTCCAAAGAAGTATATTTGGAAAATACCAATGATGAATTTGCGTTCATTAAAAGCCAAGAAAGTAAAATTATACTAAATTCTGTTTAGGGCATAAAATAAGAGATTTAATGTTGGGATTTTCAAATATACTTAGTCTTCATTTTTTTTCAGTATTTTTCAACTATTTAACATTCTGGAAAAATTTGTAACCATTAAAAAAATACACAAAAACATGCAAATAGGGGCATGTCCTTTTCCTCTGAACGGGAAGTCCCTGGCAGCCTGACATGGCATGAGGCTGGCTGGCCTTTATTTAAAATTTGGTGTTTTGTTCATCATAGATTTTATTTGCATTTTTAAAAACTATTGCATTAATATATTCTTTATCTTGACTGATGAGTTTGGGGCACACCCTTAAATTTAGTACCAGAGTGAAAATTTCACGTCACCCGAGTCTAGCCCTGCTTTGGATGCTGTTCCAGGGGTGCTGAGGACTGTAACAGCTGGGCACAGAGCTCACATTTGAGATTTGAGAAGACTGTGACTCTACTTAGGTGGACAGGATGGAGGCCACTCCCTTCTTCCATCATTCGCTCTGCTCCTAATTCATTCACTCATTCACTCTACAAACTTCTCCAGGACTTTCTGGTGAGCCACCGCCATGCTGGGCAGTGCTGGAGGCGCAGAGAGAACCCGGGTGGCGTCCTGGCCCTGCCTGTGAATTTCAGCACCTAGCACGACACTTGGCCCCAGAGGGTCCTTCTGCATCCAAGCTGCCCTGGTCCCTCCCTTGCTCCCAGCCTTCCCGTGGCTTCCCAGTTCCCCCGGGGACACAGTGTCTGTCCCTCTGAGGCCATGCAGGGTCCTCCCCACTCAGCCCTGCCACCTCATCTCTCCTCACATTTGCAGGGACTTCACTGTCTTGTGCCTCAGTTTCCCCATCTGTAGAATGGGATTGTAATACCATTTGCCCCATCACTTCAGAGCCGAATGAAAAAGAACATTATAAATAATGACACAGGATGGACGTCTTATTTGTCATTAGCAGTTGTTTTGCCTCTGCCCCTAATTCCTGAACCTTCTGGATTTTCCCCTTCAGGAAAAGACTTTGAGCAGCTTCACAAAAGGCAGCAAAGGACTATCAGAGAAAGAGAACTCGGAGTGAGGGGTAAGGAACCCAGACCAGAGGGGAGGGGCTGGGGGCCTGGACCCCTGGGTCTGGGGCAGGAGGGGCTGGGCCTGGACCCCTGGGTCTGAGGGAGGAGGGGCTGGGCCTGGACCCCTGGGTCTGAGGGAGGAGGGGCTGGGGCTGGACCCCTGGGTCTGAGGGAGGAGGGGCTGGGGCTGGACCCCTGGGTCTGGGGGAGGAGGGGCTGAGGCTGGACCCCTGGGTCTGAGGGAAGAGGGGCTGGGGCCCTGGACCCCTGGGTCTGAGGGAGGAGGGGCTGGGGACATGGACCCCTGGGTCTGAGGGAGGAAGGGCTGGGGACATGGACCCCTGGGTCTGAGGGAGGAGGGGCTGGGGCTGGACCCCAGGGTCTGAGGGAGGAGGGGCTGGGGGTCTGGACCCCTGGGTCTGGGGGAGGAAGGGCTGGGGTCCAAGATTCCTGGGTCCCTGGGTTGTGATGCTGCTATAGCAGGTCATGGCCCTGCTCTCTGCCATCGCTGACCTCTCCTCCCTGCCCCATCGTGCAGGTCTGGCCTAGGCCCGGGATCGGACCAGGTCCCCTCAGGACCCCATCCTTTCCTGCCCGGACCGTGAATTCACCTCCTCGAAGCCATAACGTCCGAGCTGCTGGTGCGGGGCCGCCCCGGGCCTGCCCTTCCTACCCCCAGAGGCGAGAGGGTGGGCGGCAGGCGGGCCTAGCTCCCTGTTTCAGGGCGGGGGGGCATTCAGCCTCCACTGTGTCTGTCTTCTCTTCCCTGGGGCTCCCCCTTGAGGCAAGGGGCCGTGCATGTCTGGGGGACCCCGCCCCCAAGCCATCCGTCTGTCTCTTTGCTGTTTGTCCGAGACTTAGTGTCCTGACCCTTGTTATCTCTGTGAATGTCAACGGGCCAATCCTCTGTGTTCCCTCAGAGACACACACCTGTGTCCGCCCCTTCTGTTCACCACCCCCGCGTCTGGCCGGTCCCCCCACTGCTGCTGCTGTCAACGCCAGAATAAACACACTCTGTGGGTCTCACTCCAGCTGGGGCTCCTGTCCTCTCTGACACTGGGAAGCTGGACTGGAACGAGCTGGCTCTGCGTTCAGACAAATGTGGTTCTTCACTCGCTGGGCAATTTTTTTCTTGTTGTTGTTAGAATGTCACTGTGTCACCTGGGCTAGAGCACCGTGGTGTCACCATAGCTCACTGCAACCTCAAACTCCTAGGTTCAAGCAATCCTCCTGCTTCATTCAGCCTCCTAAGTAGCTGGGACTACAGGTGCACGCCACCACACCTGCCTAATTTTTTTTCTATTTTTTAGTAGAGACGGGGTCTCGCTCTTCCGCGGGCTGGTCTCGAACTCCTGAGCTCAAGCAATCCTCCCACCTCGGCCTCCCAGACTGCTAAGATTATAGGCGTGAGCCACTGTGCCTTAGCATAGGCAACTTGGTCTCTCTGAGCCTCAATTTCTAAAAATTTATATTATAGCCAGAACCACTGTGTTTATAGGACACAAAATGCAACCAAAGCCTCTTTCAAAGAATTGAAAGACCTCTGTTCGCGGAGACTCTGAGAACACCGAGGGACTTTAGATCCAGGTGTTCAAGTGACGCTTTCATTTCTGCTTTTCTCTTTATTGACTTCATTCTCAGGTGTGTCTTTGCTATGGTGATGAAATAGTAATGAAGTGGTGAAAATCAGAGCTGCAAGCTTCTCATGCTGTATCTGTAATGATGCCTTCAGCTGCACAAACAACTCCCAGTTGAGAGAGCTTAAATGATAGCGATTTCTTGTGTTCATATAACAAATCTTTCAAAGACAGACAGTCCCAGGGTTAGTTCGGCTGCTGAACAGGTTGGCATCTCTAAGTTAGGGTTTCCTTCCCCTCCTGAGTACAAACCGTCTGAAGCAGCACCATGCATCATGTTCTCACTCGGTGACATCCAACGCAAGCTTGGGGACAGGGGCTTCCACTTATATGTTCCTCTTTTTCCTCCCCAGGAGAATTCCCCTTATTTCTCTCTTGCCACACCCGGGTTCTTCGGCCACCCCGACTGAGTTACAAATCAGTCTGGGACAGTGGGCGTCTGTCATCTCCAGTCCGCACTGTGGGGCGCAGGCTTTGTCACGAGGAGGCGGAGGGAGGGGAACGATTGTCGGGTAGGAAATTGACAAGATCTGCAGCCACTGCAAGAAATTAACGAGATTTGTAACCGCCTTCAGAGCAGATAACTTCAGATTAAACGAGACCTCTGTATCATTCAGGAAAAGGGTCCTGATTGGCCCCGCACTCCGCCTCAGGCCAATCATTGCGTCCAGTCGGAGCTCTCGGCCCGCCCCCTGCCATCGCTGACTCCTCCCCTGCCCATCGTGCGGGGATTGGCCCAGAAGCCCCCAGGACCTCATGCCTTTTGGCTGCAATGGGGAATTCAACTCCTGGGAGCCGCAACAGTCTTTAGTGGAGAACATAAGTTCCCCTTGATTGACAGTTGCAACAATCACGTGGCAGTGGGCAAGGGACAGTCCCTCGGAGGAGTAGGTGCCCACTACTTCTGCCCTTTGCATTAGTTCACGCCTGCATTCCCACACCATGAACATTGGTACAACCGCTGTATTGGTGTGCTAGGGCTGCCGAACCAAACCGTCTGGCTGAAAATGCAGAAATGCATTCTCTCTCACACAGTTCTGGAAGCCAGAAGTCTGTAGTGAAGGTATTGGCAGGGTTGGTTTCTTCTGAGGCTCTGAGGGAAAAGCCATTCATTCTATGCCTCTCTCCTAGCTCCTGGGAGCTGCCGGCAGTGCTCGGCATTCCTCAGTTTACAGATACATCTATCTCTCCAATCCCTGCTCCGTCAGCTTCTCTACTGTGTCTCTGTCTCAAATCTGCCTCTGCCTCTCTCTTTTCATGACACCTGTCATTGGATTTAGGGACCACTCTAAATCCAGGATGATCTCATTTGGAGATCCTTAATTATATCTGCAAATGCCCTTTTTTCAAGTAAGGTCACATTCACGGGTTCCTGGGGTTGAAACGGGGACATAGCTTTTGGGGACTAACATTCAACCCACTGCAACCACATTGAAAAACGGTTTGTCAGTTTCTTGTAAAGTTAAACATAAATTTATCACACAACTTGGCAATCCCACTCCTAAATATTTACCCACGAGAAATAAAAACATGTTCACACAAATATCCACCGCAATCTTGTTCATAAAAGCCACCAATCTGGAAACAACCTGCATGTCCATCAACAGGAGGTAGGATAAACAAACTGTGGTCCATCCTTAGGATGGAATACAACTCAGCCATAAAAACAACCACTCGTGATATGTGTAACACTGTGGATAAATCTCAAAAATGTATGTTTTGTGAAAGAAGATACAAAAGAGTACATACAGTGTGATTCCATTTATGTGAAATTGTAGAAGAGGAAACATTAATTTGTAGGGACAGAAAGCAGATCAGTGGTTGCCCAGGGACAGTGGGGGGGGGGTGGCTGTGGGGACAAGGGAGACTTTAGGAATGATGGAACTCTCCTATATTTTAATTGTGGGGTGGTCACACAACTGTATACATGTGTAAAAACTCACTGTATTCAAAACTGGTGCATTTAAAAGTTTTTTAATTGTTGCAAAATATACATAACATAAAATTTAGCATCTTAGCCATTTTTTGTGGTGCAGTTGCTTTTTTTTTTTTTTTTTTTTTTTTTTTTTTTTTGAGACAGAGTCTTGCTTTGTTGCTCAGGCTAGAGTGAGTGCCGTGGCGTCAGCCTAGCTCACAGCAACCTCAAACTCCTGGGCTCAAGCAATCCTTCTGTCTCAGCCTCCCGAGTAGCTGGACTACAGGCATGCACTACCATGCCCGCTAATTTTTCTATAATATTAGTTGGCCAATTAATTTTTTCTATTTATAGTAGAGACAAGGTCTCGCTCTTGCTCAGGCTGGTTTCGAACTCCTGACCTCGAGCAATCTGCCGCCTCGCCTCCCAGAGTGCTAGGATTATAGATGTGAGCCACTGCGCCAGTCTGTGTACAGTTGCTTGAAATACATTCACATTGTTGTGCAAACATCACCACCATCCATCTCCATAATTATTTTCATAGTGAAAAATTGGAACTCTGTGCCCATTAAACAACACTCTGTTCCCCTCTCTTTCCAGCCCCTGGCAACCACCATTCTACTTTCTGGGACAGTCTCTACAAATTTGACTACTGTAGGTGCCCTATGTAAGTGGAATTATACAGTATTGTCTTTCTGTGACTGGATTGCTTTACTTAGCATAATGTCCTCAAGGTTCACCAGGTTGTAGCACGTGTCAAATTTCCTCCCTTTTAAGGTCAAAAAATACTCTATTATATGTATATACCACATTTATTTTATCCATGTATCCACTGATGAACACTTGGGTTGCTTTCTTCTACCTTTCCGTTATTGTAAATGATTGCAGCTATGAACATGGGTTGCATATATCTCTTTGAAAACTGATGCATTTTTCTTGCATAAAATTATACCTCAATAAGGTTGGTTAAAAAAAGAACACTCCTACCTGACATAATACAATCACCCCAGGTGCAACTGCAGAAGTGTTCACCCCATCCCCAAATGGAAAGTAAGCACAAGCCACGTTCAATCCCCAGATCAGGATTTTGTAACATTGGGTTTCCTTTTATCAATGGAGCATGTAGTCTCTCTTGATCCAGAAAATTAATTCTCAGTGAAAATTATAGCTGCCCTCAGCAACCTACCACAGCGTAGAAGAGTGGAGGGAGAACAGGGAAGCTATCATGATTCTCATTTATAAAAGGGAGAAAGAAGAACAAAAATAGCATGGCTACTTGCTTGTATTTGTCTAGACTCTTCAACCTGCAAGTGACAGAAACTTGCCCTTTTTGTGACACAGAAAATGCACAAATATCCAGTGTGTATTGCTCAGTTTACAAACTGAGCACAGCCATGGACCCAGCCCTGGGTCGTGGACTAGATCATGACAAGCTCTCCAGACTCCCCATCTCCTTGGTGGTCACTCCTTCACCTGGAAGTTAATTACTGTCCTGATTTCTGACACCATAAGTCAGTTTGCCGTGTTTTTCAACTTCACAAAATGGAATCCCAAAGCATGTAGATGTGTCCCTGGCTGCTCTGATTCAGCATATGTCTGTGAGATCTTCACATTGTCGCTGGTTGCTGTAGGATGCTCATTTTCATTGCCGTATAAGAGTGTATTATGGAATATACCATAATATATTTTCTATTCTACTGTTGATCAACATTCTGGTGCTATCACTTATAGTGCTGCTAGGAACATGCATTTTGGTGAACATATGTAGGCATTTCTGTTGGGTATAAACCTAGAATGCAATTGCTGGGTCCCAGGTTGTATGTATGTTTGGCTTTATAGACATTCCCAGTTTGCCTAAGTCATTGTCTCCACTTATACCCCACTAGCAGTCTCTGAGAATTTCAGTTGCTCGCCAATTTTCGGTATGGTCAGTCTTTCTAATTTTAGCAATTCTGGCAGGAGTGAGCAGTGTTTTATAATATTATGGTTTAATTACTTTTTCCCAATGGCTAATAAAATATAATGCTTTTGCAAATATCTATTGGCCATTGGATATCCTCTTTTGTGAAGTGCCAACTCACATCATTTTCCATTTCTATTAGATTTTCTGCCTTTCCTAATTGACTAGTAGTTCTTTATATATTCTGCATGTGAGTCCTATGTTAATACATATTATTCTCCCACTCTGTGGCTTGTCTTTTCATTCTCTTAATGTATTTTTTGATGACTTAATTTATATTTTAATAGTCCATTTATTACTATTTTTCTTATAGCTAAGGTTTCCTTTGTTTCTTGTTTAAGAAATCTTTCCTTGTCCTGAAGTTCTAGATATTCTATAATGTTTTCTTTAGAGTTATTTTGTTTGTTTGTTTAACTGTAACATTTAGATCTACAACCCATTTGGAATCATTTTTATGTGTGGTGTGAGGTAGGAGTTATATGGCTATCTAATAGCCAGGCCTATTAATCAAAAAGATCATTTCTTTCCTCACTACACTGCAATGTTACTTTCATCGTAAACCAAGTGACCTTATATGTGTGATATTTCCTGATTTCAATTCCATTCCTTTGGTCTATTTTTTTCTTGTAATTATTAAAACAAACAGATCAAAGCTTAATTATATTATAATAAGTCTTGATACCTGGTAAGTCACTGGTTCTTTTTTCATTTTTTGACAAGAGGATTTATTAGCTTATAGAACTGAACTTATCTAACTAGCTTCAGGCATGGCTGGACACAGGCACTAAAATAAATCGTCAAGAATATATCTCATTTCCTCAATGGGCTTTACTTTTCTGTATCTTGACTTCCCTTAAGATAGAGTCTCTCTCCTCATGGGAGCAAAGGGAGCCATAAAACTCAAGGTTTCCATCCTATCATCTTAGCAGTTAGGCACCAGAAAAAAATACCTATTTTCTGAATGCTGACACCAAAGTCCAAGATTAGCTTTCACTGGCCCACCTGGTCACATGTCCATTTCTGTACCAATCCTTGTAACCAGGGTGATGAATTAGTTTGATTGGCCAGGGCACTTGTTCCCACACTTGGACTCTCTGGCAGGTCCACCCAAAGAACTTAATTTTGCATAGGGAGGGATAATAGGAAAATCAGGGGGTTAAGAATAAAGAGAGAGCTACAGATTCTCTCTTTGAGAGAAATCTTTGCAAACACGTATCTGATAATGGACTGTATTCAAAATACAAAGAACTCTTAACACTCAACATTAAGAAAACAAACAATCCAATTTAAAGTAGGCAAAAGAATCTGAATAGACACCTCACCAAATGTACAGATGGCAAATAAGTATATAAAAAGATGCACAACATCATATGTCATTAGGGAACTGCAAATTAAACAATAATGAGATATAACTACACCTATTAGAAGCCAAATCCACAAATACTAATAACACCAAATGCTGATTGAGCTGTGGAGCATCAGGAAGTCTTATTCATTGCTGGTGGCCATGCAAAATGGTACAGCCACTTTGGAAGACAGTTTGGCAATTTCTTACAAAACTAGATATATTCACCAGTATTATGTGCCAATAGCAATTTGTGTTCTCCTTGTATT